ATTTTTATTGTGTAGAGAGTTGTAAAAGTAGCGTCTTTTAGCATACCGACACAAGCGACTGCAGCGGTTGCGTAAAAATTTAAAACGATTTAAGTTATTTTCAGATGGGAGACGTTTAAACCTTTGCTTAGCTTTATCGCTCTGGCCCATAAGTTCTTTTATATCTTGTGTAATCCAAGGTGCAGGATTACGCTTTATTTTTACGCGTTTGAGCGGGGCATGGTTATTGTATACCTTCAAAATTATATCATTAAAGTTACAAACCTTCTCATTAATATTAGTATTGTCAACAATAGGTGTCCAATCAACATTACTTATATCATGCTGCAATGACTCCAGATCTATTGCCTTGTAATTACGAAGGAACAAGGATTGGGATTTCTTTTTAGGTGGACAGAGACGATAAGAGAGGTAGATTAAATCATGATATGAAAAAGAGGCAGTTATTTGTCCATGAGACATGACACTATCAGTAGAAGAAACGATCATAATATCAAGCAAAGAAGGGTTACAGTTAGGGAAGTGGTGAGTTGCCTGAAGGGGGAGAGTGAGAAGATTGAAGGAAGATACCAAATTCAGAAGTTTTTGGGAGCGAGAATCATTTTTGATAAGACAGGTGTTGAAATCTCCCATTAGAATAATATGATCGTAAGTAGTACTAAAATCAGCAAGGATTTTTTTCAAGCGTATCAAAGTAATCTATGTGCATGTTAGGACTGTAAAATACCGCCAGCAACATTTTTACATGATTGAGAGTAACTTCTATGAAGAGATATTCAGCAGATTGAGAGTAAATAGAAGGAGAGGCACATATGGTCTTATAAAATATATCCGAACGCAGGTATATAGCTACCCCACCACAACCTTTTCCTATACGATCATTACGAATAAGGACAAAACCAGGTAAGGCAAACTGTGTAGAGGGGAGTGATGGCTTGAGAAATGACTCAGAAATTAGTAAAGCATCGAGATGTGCACTGTTAATTGATGCTAGAAGATCAGGATAATGGCGAGGAACACTCTGGATGTTAATGTGTGCAACATTAAAGTTGTTAGGAAATTTAGAGCGTAGGGATGAAATCTGGTCATACAAAGTTAAAGGTAACTCACTATCCGCACTTGTAAAACTACAAGTTTTACAAGTGCGGATAGTGTAGTACAACTCTTTTTTAAATACTATTAAAAAAATATTCGTTTTGCTGTGAATTTTGCAAGAACACTAATTTTTACTTACTATTAATATAACTGCAGCATGGCTCTACCACGTATGAAATAAAACTTACTAAACTTTAATTTTATTAAAAAATTAAAAGAAATAAGTTATACTTAAAGGGCAGGCGAAAGCCACTCTTCGTTTTATTTTTTTTTTTTTACTCCTAAATAACATCACATTTAAAAAATCTAAAACTTAACTTGACTAGTAAATTATCTATAGTATTTTTGGAATCACTTTTTACTATTTTGCATTTGATAAATTAAATGAATCGATGATTACCACCAAAAGTGGCCACTTTTAGCTGGGATATACTATTGAAGTCATTGAGCATAGTGCTTAGTTGCTCCAGCGATTCTGTCATAAGGCCATATCGTCGCGAATCGAAGGTGAGTTATGTATTCGCCATTGAATACCGTATCCTTTCCAGTCCAGTACCTTAAAAACATCTTCCAATGCAGCGGTGAAGAGTTTCGGGGATATAACGTTACCCTGTCTTACTGCAGTTGTATAGGTTTCGTATTCTGGTTCTGTACTCGAATAGCCATCGTAATCCTACTGTATAAACACTTTAGCATTTCGATTCCAATTCGATTTGAAGACCAATTGGCAAATTGTACTCTTCAGTTTTCTACACAATTTGCGGAAGGCTATGTATGTGGTCTATGGTACTAAGACCTTCTCGGAAACCGGCTTGTTCGGGAGGCTAAAAGTTGTCAAGTCTGCTTACGAGACGATTCGTAATGACTCTCGAAAACAGCACGTAAACGCAGCTTTGAAGGGAAATCGGTCTGTACTTTCTCAAGAAAACGTTGTCGCTTTTCTTGAAAAACAAACTACCGCATTTCTGCTCCACGCCTCCGGAGTAGTCACCATGGAGGACGGAATTAAAAAGCTTCTAAAGGGTTTCATGTACCGGTTTTCCATCCATTTTCAATAGCTCCGCTGTAATTTTAGCCACGACTGGGGCCATGCCGTTTTTAAGGCCCTGGAGAGCCATTTTAATCTCGCTCAAACTGACCGATATATCATCGGAATAGTGACAGATAAGAAACAAACACCACTACTAAATAATGGTAAGTAGATATTTACAGTAACAAAATTGTTTACTATTCGTACTTTACATTACACTTGAAACTTTCAGACTTACTACGAATCACCATGTTGTAGTTCTGAAATAAGTCTTTGCTTAGTGAAAATATGAAGTTTTACTGTTTTTTTATTGAATAACTGGGTTATCGCTAGCAATTCGTTAGCACTTGACTTCATCTCACCTCTTCTCTTTCGCACCCTTGTCGTTTCGCTTGGCATATTACATTGCGGGTGCAATTTGTAGTAAATCTTTTTTAAATTTCCAATTGAAAAAATCGTGGCACTTACCGCCTCCTCCTTTTGTATGCCGCCTGGGGCCATGGCCCCCTCTCAGCTCGACTAAAATTTCTTAAAAACTTCACAATATACGACTCAAAATATTACGACAATCTCGTAAACACAATTCACACCAAACTAGGCTGTATGGACACAGATCCTTTGACTTCTCTAAGAAGCAAAAATATTGTGAATGACAATGACATTGACGTGAATTATGACATTGACGTAAAACAATTTATTTTCATTTTCATCAAGTTTCGAGTTTCGTTCTTCCAGGCAAAGAGTATAATAAGTATATACAGATTCCAGGTTCGGCTGTTAACATCTGTTGATAATAAATTTTTTCAACGAGATCTTATATTTTTGTATCGTTTACAAACCCGTTCTGCTGCATGTAGTACTTACTTGCCGAGACTAATTTCTTTTCTTCAAAAATATAAAAGGTACAGTTCACTTTTTTTGCGACTAACTTATTGTAAACTAATTATATATCTACAACTACAACTCAAGCTATGAAACTAAAATTATACCTTTACAAAATTATGTGATCTATCATAAACACGCAATCGTCTTATATTTGATTCGTATAATTTGTCTTTTTATGGAGCATGAAGAGAAAGTTCTTACCATATTTTAACGAGGAACGAGAAATTACTAACCTTATAATACAGATTCCACAGATTCAACAAATTCCTAGCGATGTAGAATAATTATTTCCTTAATATGAATGATATTTTCCTATACATTTTGAAACTGCTGAAATGCTTATTTTATTATTTATATAATAATGAACTAACTAAATAATTGAAATATAATATTTAATATTTATTAATGTTACTTATGATCATGCAGTGGTGGTATAATAATATTCATAACGCCATATTGTCGTGTAGGTTGTGTTGTGTTGTAAGAAGTGGCAGAGGGAAATAAACTGAGAGATTTACAGCAGAATATTCCTAAAAACAACTCAAAATAAAAATAAACTGCAGTTGCCAGCCCGCCAGCACAGTGTGGCAACAATGGCCAATAATGTCCTCAGACCAAATTTCGGTCACAGCGGCCAGTCTCAGCGGAGACTAACCATCTGTGTTGAACAGGATTATAGTGGCCGAGTGTGTGCACAAACACATGTGCACTCTTTATTACCTCACTCCATATGACTGGAGAGAGACCAGGTGCAGATCCCACAGCTTTACATGCTTTCCAAGGCACGGTGTGTAACACTGCCAACTTCCTAACTCCGGACTGCTACTGACAATGTCTAGGCAGAAAAACCCAATAACTGATTTTGATCCGACCCAAAATTTGAACCCAGGACCTGCAACTGCGTTTACAGTCAACAGAGCCATCATCTGACCAATATCCCCCTATATGCAATCTAAGGGGAGACCGAAGTAAAGCAGTGTTCTTAAACTATGGAAGCATAATTGGCAGAGCCACACTACAGCTAGATTATGGTTGTAGCACAAATGGGTTGGTTCAACTGTGGTAGGACCTTGCTCTCATAGAATACCAGTGTAAAATAGTAGCTGAATGCTGTTTTATTTTGTATGATGTAGTGAACCGGAGACCGTTTTTACTAGAAACGAGGCATTCCATCTCATTCCTCAGGGGTGACAATGCACCTACATTTTGTTTCTTAATTGAGGATAAATGTAGATGTCTTTGGGCCTCAGCATCTACTTATCATTAGGGGGGACTGTGTGCTTGTTTGTCACCATTATTCTATATAAAAGAGATTACTGGGAATTTATATCTAATGGGAGAAATCACGATTGTTAGGGACTGAAGCATTCGTCATTATGAAATCAAAAATTAAATTTAACTATAAATATAAATAATTAAATGGATATAAGAAATTATTTGTGTAAATAAAAATGAAATCTTTTGAGCTGACTCTATCTTTGGTTATGCTTGCGGGCCAGTAACAACAAGTGACTTATAACATCATGGCTATATAAAAAAAATCTAATCAAAATAAAACCCAAAAGTAGGGTATTATGAAAATCTCTGTACCTCATATAATTTTTAAAGTTCTATATATATATATATATATATATATATATATATATATATATATATATATATATATATATATATATATATATATTAGAGGGCATTAAAAATAATATTTAAGGAATTGCAGTTAATATTTCTTTTATAAGCATAACTTTTTATAGATTATCATAAGCCACAGATTTATTTATGTAGAATAAATTAAATAATTATCAGTGCTACGCTTACATAATCCATTGTAACACACTTTTTACATTACCCATGCTAATTTATTCTAGCATCTTGCTCAATGTGTATTGTTGCTTTTATGTTGTTATGAAAATATAATTCTTGTTCAGGAAATTCCTATTTTTAACATTTTGCTTTGTTATTATCATTCTGTTACATATGTTGACTGAAGATGCTTGTCAGAAGTCTATCACGAAGACTATGGAGCACATTACGTTATCAAAAAAGGTTTCTATCTTCTGAACCAGCAAAACCACAACAGGATGTCAATTATGGAGTGGAACCAATTCAGGTATGCTAAGCTTACAAAATGATCACAAATCTTTTTTTTTATAACTAAATGTTATAGAGTTATGCTGCAGTTATATTATGTTAGTAGCGCAAATGGGTCAGCCTGACTGCAGAAGGACCACGCTCTTAAAGAATATCATTTTGAAACAATAGAATAATCCTGCTGTGTTTTGTATGGTAAGTGTAGAAAATTGGAGACCCTTTTGACCATTAAGGAAGCATTCCATTTTAGTCCTCACACAACACATACCAATTTTGATTAATTCTCAAGGATAAATATAGAAGCTATGGTCCACAGCATCCACTTACTATCAGCACAGAATGAATAATAGTACTGCATACGGAAGTTGAACTCCTCTGATGTTGACTGCTTGCTGACATTTTAATAGCCTACATAATTATTATTAATTAGATAAATAATGCACGCAAGCTAAATAAAACTTAATCGCCGCGCGCGACTGTCCGTATTACTTTATATCTTTTGCCCTTCCTATGTCACGGCGAATTTTCCGTGGTTACTTAGGGACTTAAGGCTGACAATAAAGAGTTAAAAAAAATTGCGAAATGATAAGAAAATTACTTAAGTAAAGCACGGAGTATATTTTTGCTACTATGTGAGTTCTGTGACACCCAATGCATGCAACTTGCAGAGCCATTCGTCGCAAATCGCGATGCTTGGCTTGGAAGAGATAGACAGTACAACAAATACAATAAATAAACCCGAAACACAATTCCTAATAGAAAAATGTGATCATATTCTACTTAGTTAAAAATCTTGTAAATAAAGTTTTAATCTCAGTATTTTGTGTTATAAGTACTTTGATAGTGAAGTAAATTTCAACTTAGTTCTGTAATCAGGTACTTAGGTACCTCTGTAGTTAAATTATCACTTAACCCTTTTATCGCCACGGAAATACCTCGATAGTTTATGTATAGATTTGTACACTTTCATACAATTTCATTGTTGACAATACCTACCTATGTACTATTTATATCAGTACTTAATAATTTTAAGTACCTAACAGCAAAAATTAAATAAGAAATAAATTCACCTTTCATTATTATTTTATTACCTATTTTATCCTTCGGAAACAAAATGATAAATCTGAATCCTTTTGTTTGCTCATTAAGCATCGATACAACAATTATAGTAGAAACGACATTTTGCCGTTCATTAAATAGATAGGTAACATTACCTAAATACCTTGATTGTTTATAATAATTATGTATGTACATAATTTTAATGACATTAAAACTTTTTAACGATTTTATCATCTATAATTAAATATACTAAACACTGAACAAAAACGATTTCAACGAGTATTTACAAAAAACTATTTACGTAAACAGAGTTAAAAATACCTTAAAATTTACTCACCTGGAAAGGCTAGAACCGACTGCGTATTTAACCTGAGTTCCCGCGCAATTGTAGGTAATTTAAGAGCGACAGAGGCCTTCTATCACTTGAACTCTGTTTTCGTTTATCATCCTTATTCTATAAAAAATGAGAGACAAATAAGCTTATAGTCCCGGGAAGGTATATGGTTGCTGTTGGGGCTACAATCTCGAAATCCAGCTGGCGCGCCTTAGATCACGTTTCGCGATGCGTTAGGGGCTCTAATCACATGGAATTGCGAGGATGATTATCTTTATAAAAACCAACTAAAGCTCAAGCATGGCACGCCGTGAGAAACTGCATGGTTGAAGGGTAAATGTTTGGTCGTTAACGTTTCCCCTCGACGGGGTACTGACTGACACATTCGAGGGGATACGCATTGGCTTATCCGGACATAGGAGGCACTGGACTGTTATTTTCTCCACTGTCCTGGGATCAAATATAGAAAAATCTAAATATCTAAAAACAGTTGATGTGGAACAGAGTAAATCTATTGGTGAGGCCTTTTAAGACTGATATCCGCGCTCGTGAGCTTTTGTGAAAGAGCCAACTTCAGAAAAAACAATTGGAATGAGCCCTTTAAAGTAAAAATCTCGGGAGTTCGTGGTGCCGGAGCCAAAGGAGAGTTAATATGACTAAGAGACAAGTAAAAGAGAAGGCTCGGGGCTTGCACTGCCAATGAAAAACGTGCAACCCTGGGCCTGCCTAATGTAGTCGAGGATGAAGACCGTTCGTCTTTAGCTCTCAACAAACAGATCTTTGACGGTGTCGAAGTCATATTGACGGTAGCAGCCAAATCAAGGCATGTAAAAGGCATGTTCCAATATGAATTAAAAATGTAGTCTCTTCAATATAGGAACGCCGGATCGGAAGACCAAAATATTTGGACAAAGTTTCAAAAATGTCAGTATTTTGGGGTTGTTGTAACAAATATTAAAAATAAAAGTGTAAAAATAAAAAGTATATTTTTTACATTAACAGTCTAGAAAAACTTAACATTGATGATACATAATTAACTTAAATAATGTCGTTAGCGGGGGTCAGCAAGCCTGCCCCTGCCTCACCATCTCCTCGTGGGCTAGAACAAACAGAATTTAATGAGCTAAAGCTCCACTACGCACCAAGTCGGCAACATGATGAATATGCGATTGCAGGCGGTTGTGATGCGGCTACTCGCAGAAAAGTATCCACATACCAATGCTGCAGACGTCAACTAAATGATGCGGACATACTGAGATCGAAGTCTTACCCTATACGGGGTCTTTGAAATTAAAGACGAGCAAAAATGTTTTGAAAACAAAAACGGGTAATAGCAACGCCTGTGTCGGTAATCCAAAATTACCAATAATCAAAAAGCTCAAGTCAATGTTTCTAAGAGAAATGTCAGAAAAAGAAGTCAGAAATTTAGTCATATCTCTTAATAATTCAAAAACAACTGGCTATGACGGAATATGTACCAATATTATTAAAACTTCCATCGATAATTTTATAAAAATACTTACACATCTTATAAATCTATCCTTTTCAACAGGTACTTTCCCAGAAAAGCTTAAAGTATCAATAATTAAACCGTTGTTTAAGAAAGGTGAAAAAGATGATGTTAATAATTACAGACCTTTTTTTTTTTTGACCCCCCCAGGTGTGGGGTTGTTGTGTAACAAAACTTTTTTAAAGGGTTTGTTCCCCTTTTTGTTTTCCTTTTCCTTCGTGTTGTTAAAAAATTGCATTAATATCAAATGTTTCAAAAATATTCGAAAAGTGCATGTTTTTGCGCCTTTCTGAATATTGTAATAAGATTAGTGTCATCAGTCCACAACTATTTGGTTTTCAGAAAAATAAATCTACTTCTTTGGCCACGTATACATTAATTAAATTCATCTTAGAAAGTGTAAATAATTCATATCTAATCACTGTGTTGTTTTTTGATCTAAGTAAGGCTTTCGAATTCGTATACCATAAAAATCTCCTTAAAAAAACTGGAAAATGTGGGCATTCGAGGAATTCCTTTGCAGTGGCTCGAATCTTATTTGACAAACAGAAAAAAAAAGTTGAAATAAAAAAATTCAATAACCAAAATTAACTGACTTCTTATTAATCAGATTTTAGGAAGAACAACTTTGGCTTTCCACAAAGAAGCATTCTTGGGCCTTTGCTTTTTATTTTATATATAAATGACATTACCAAATATAACTACATTTAAATGTACTATGTTTGCTGACGATATTTCAATAACAATTGTTACTAACCCAAGGAAACATTCAATTACAAAACATGAATCTGACATAAATGACACAATCAAATCAGTAATAGAACGGTTAAAACTAAATAATTTAAAAGTTAATCTTACCAAAACTCATTATATGAAATTTGATAATTTGAAAACGAATAAGCTTGACATATATTACAACGGAACTAAAATTGAAGAAATGACGCAAACTAAATTTCTTGTCTTAGTAATTAATAAAAACCCTAATTGGGAGGCTCATATTAAGTCAGTGTGCGATAGACTAAATAAATTTGTATATGCTTTAAGGTATATTAGAAAAGTCACTAACATAAATGTAGCCCTCTCAGTTTATCATGCTTATGTAGTTTCAATTCTGCGTTACATGTTAATTATCTGGGGAAATGGTTCTCAATTAAATAAGGTCTTTATCACTCAAAAAACATGTCTACGAGCATTGACTCTTAAAGCGCCATTTGATTCATGTCAAAAAATCTTTATTCAAAAACCTTAAGTTATTGACTTTGCCCTCGCTCTACATATATGAAATTTGTTTGTTCGTTAAACAACACTGTCATTTGTTTACTAAAGCAAAAGTTATATCTTCTCGAAGCCATAGATACCCCGAAAAACTTGTAATCGACACACTTCCTAGACTATCTAAGTAAAATAAAAGCTGTCTATATATGTGTGTCAAAATATATAACAAAATTCCTCAGCATATTAAAGCACTTTCTTTACCAAGATTTAAAAAAAAGCCTCAATGATTTTCTTGCAGAAAGTACCTTTTATAGCGTCAAAGAATTTCTAGATTGTAAATTTAATGAATGAACTACTGTAATTTCACTGAGCATTGAGATTTTATTCTATTTAAAAATAATTAATAATTATCTGACATTTTTCTTCTATTACGCCATTAGCTATTGATAAAAAAAATTGAAGCCGAAACGTAATATATTTTTTAATAAGTAAATTGCAATTTATGTAAATTTTGGTAATAGTTTTATACAATTTATGACAATATAGTACTGTGTATGTATTCATCCGAAAATAAAAGTCATCTCCTATTTTAATAATGGTGAAATATGAAAAAAACTGATCTTTTTGATATTAACATTTATTAATTTTTTTAACAATTTTTTGACTTTTTAGATATTAGACATTTATATAAACATTTACCTACATTTTAATAAAAACATTGACATGTAATATTTATTGTAATCTAAAAATTTGACGCTAAAATATTTTTGAATAGGTACATAATTCATTTTCTTTTCAGTAAGTTAGTTACTTCACTAAATTGTATTAATATTTTTTTGTTTACTGTAAAAGATTGCACGCCATGTCATGGTAGAATGTAAGGTCTCGTTCATAACTAATAACACCATATTATTATGTACTACATTCTAGCAATAAATAAATTTGAAAGGAAAGGGCAACTAATAAAAAAAAAACATAGAAATAAAGGCTACTGCCCAGCAAACTCGCTCTTAACCTTCTGGAGTCCACAGTCGAAAAAAGAACCCGGCTTGGGTTCTTCCAATCCTGCTAAGAGGCCGTCATGTGTAAGATTACGCTCTCTAAAATCCACCGCTGTAGTTATAACACTGCTGCTACGTCTGAAGATCGTGGTCCAGTAGATAGAGGATTGACCTTGATTGCTTGCTTGCTTGATACCAATCTCAGCGATACTGCCAAGGCTAAGTGGCGGAGGTAGTATTTTGACGTACGAGGGGCACACTGAAATGATCGGGAATAGAATATTTCGGATTGAGTTACAATAAAACCTTTTTTAGAATGTGAATACTGGCCTCTTAGAATCTTCATGATTTTCAAACAATTAAAAAAAATGTTTAAAAGCAAAAACTATGTTGGTTTAAAGTTGATACGTCGTTAACAGAAATGGTGCTCATGCGTGATCATTTCCGTGTCATAATTTATCACAATTTTCTTCGCGACTTATCTCAAGATAAATGTCCCAGCGAACTTGTTTCGATTTATGATGTTGAAGCACCGAGTTAAACGACAATATACCGCTGGTATGCCAAGTTCCGACGCAGTCGTGTTTCGCTCAGCTCTGTTTCTTCTGCAGGTCGACCAAGAACAGCGGTCACGCCTGAAAACATCGCAACTGTGCGAACTATTATATTAGATGACCGTCATGTGACATACGAGCAGATTCGGGCTGTTATCAGTATCGAAATGACTGCAATTTACATATTGAGCTGTGTGTAAGAAAGCTAGTTTCCCGCTGTGTTCCCCACAATTTGTCCGAAGAACAAAAGGCGACTCGTGTAGATTGGTGCCAGAAAACTCTGCAAAGCTTCAACGGAGAGAAGTCAAATGCCGTTTCTAATATCGTCTCAGGTGACGAATCGTGGATTTATTCATACGAACCTGAAAGAAAACATCAGTCAGCAGTTTGAGTCTTCGAAGACGAGGTCAAACCAACGAAAGTGGTTCGCTCCCGCAGCGTGTCTAAGAAAATGGTCGCTACGTTTGTCTCGAAAAAGGGGCATGTTGCTACAATTCCTTTACAGGAACGCAAAACGGTTACCGCTGAGTGATATATCACGGTTTTTTTGCCAGAAATGATAGCCGAACTCCGAAAAAATAACCCGAAACGTCGCACCATCTTACATCATGATAATGTGAGCTCCCATACGGCTCAGAAGACAAATGATTTTTTGAAGCAGGAAAACGTTGAGCTGATGAGCCATCCTCCGTAAAATCCTGACCTGAGCCCAAACGATTTCTTTACATTCCCTAGAATGAAAGATTTATCACGCAGAATACGGTTTGAAGACCCCGAAGCAGCTGTGGAAGCGTACAAATTAGCCATTTTGTAAACATCAACTTCGGACTGGAATTACTAATTTTTAATAATTGGTTTGCACGAAGTGCATTAAGTTGAACGGAGAATACTTCGAAAAACAATAAAATACAATTTAGCTATACCGGGCATGTGGTTTTTCTTATTCCCGATCATTTCAGTGTGCCCCTCAAACCAGAGGAAACGAGCGATGAAAAACAAACTCCTTGAGTAAAATATTAAGTGATTCATTGTCTGAGAATGTGACTAAAGTATCCCGATAAATGAAAGCGAAAACATGCGCAAAAAAGCAAAAATGGAGAAAGTGCGCGAAATCCGCAGAACAAGCTCTGATACCAGTACCCTCTGGGTTAGCTGCCCTCTGCGGTAGCCAAGAAAGTTGAAGGAGGTAGGCACTTTTTGATCCGGTGTGTAGCAGCACAGGTGAAACGGTGCGCGTCCAGTGCACCTCAGAGGTCTACCTCTACCGTAAAAATAATGCTATGGGCAGCCTGGCTACAAGGCAGGGAATGCACGGATACGCCGAATTGTTCACTGTATATTGCAGCACATAGGGCGGCTGACTACGTGCTGGGGAGCAAATGGTGCTCCCGCCCCAAAAGCACCCCGAAAGGACGCCAACTACGCAACTTGAAATGGAGAAGGCGATGGTAGTCAACAAACCCAATGGCTTGTCTTTATCGTCCTCTCCAAGCACACTAACCACTGTGGCAGGACTTGTTTCGGAGTACTTTTTTTTTTGCACTGATCCCAAATTTCTTCTAAAATATAAATAGCCTAAGCTACTCTTTATAACATCAGCTATCTGCCAGTGAAGGTCCTTTCAAATTTGGTCCAGCTGTTTCGAAGATTACTCGGAACAAACAGACAGACAAATAGGCAGATAAAAAATTTAATTTTTTTTTAAGTACCGTTTATACTTTCCTAAGCATTTATCATAACATATTAAAAATCTGTTATTTTGACATTATTTTAATTTTATTTATTTGACATCTATAATGTTTATCTGTTTTTAAGTTTGAATGTTAAATTTAACGGAATTAACTTCATTGTTGTTTTTAATGTTTAGTCAGAAGCCCTAGATAAGGATATATGCCTGCTAGTGGATGAAAAGGACAATTTCATTGGCACCGCAACAAAACGGGAGTGTCACAAGGTTGCAGACGATGGCAGTATCTTGCTACATCGCGCCTTCAGTGTATTCCTCTTTAACAAAAGAGGGGACATGCTCTTGCAAAGGAGAGCAAGTCAGAAGGTATGTTTTGTTTTATTATTCTTTATAACCTTGTTTTAATTCATTTTTCATTACTTCCATTGAGGAAAAAAATGTAATCATTTATTAGCCTTATTATCAAAGACCTTTATTTCATAAATTTTTGAATTAAAAAGAAAACATTTTTTTTTTTGGGATAACATATTATTATAGCTCAGGTCTCACCGAACATGGGTCTTTTTTGTTCGTGAAGTTTTATCACGATCGGTTCAGTCTAAGATTGACCCGCTCACTAACAGGCAGATAGGCCTTTTTTAAAATTTTTATTACGTCACAATGGCGTACAAATAACACCTTGAGCTTTAAAATTTCTTTTTTGTTAAAAAGTCTTTTAATAAAAAGGCAGTTTCGACATTATAAACAGATAATTCAATTTTATTTATATTATCTATATTTATCATCATCATCATCATCATCACAGCCCTTCACCTCACATCTTCTCGTCAGGTATACCTCAATCTCTGAAAACTAAAGTGTACAACCAGTGCGTGTTGCCAGTGATGACTTACGGATCAGAGACGTGGTCCTTCACTGCTGGCCGTATGAGGACGCTCAAGGTCGCTCAGCGAGCTATGGAGAGGGCTATGCTCGGAGTTTCTCTGCGTGATAGACTCAGAAATGAGGATATCCGCAGTAAAACCAGAGTGACCGACATAGCCCAACGGATTAGTAAGCTGAAGTGGCAATGGGCCGGCCATATTTATGGATAGCTCGAAGAACCGATAACCGATGGGGAAGAAAGGTTCTCGAGTGGCAGCCTCGTACCGGTAGGCGTAGTGTAGGGCGACCCCCCACTAGATGGAGTGACGACCTGGTAAGATATGCAGGAAGTCGATGGATGCAGGTGGCTCAGGACCGTGCTTTGTGGCATTACTTGGGGGAGGCCTATGTTCAGCAGTGGACTTGTGAAGGGCTGTGATGAGTGAAGGGCTATATTTATAGGTTATATTATTTTCAGGTCACATATCCAGACTATTACACGAACGCTTGCTGCAGCCATCCTCTGTACATAGATGAAAAACCTGAAGATATTATCACAGCTGCTAGACGCAGAATGAACTACGAGCTGGGTATCCCTCTAAATCAAGTATGATATTGCCATATACAAAAATTAATTGTTAAGTAAACAGTAGATAATATTTTACTTTGGAAATATATGAAGTAAATCTTTTCTGTCAGCCTAGGTTTATCTAGTTACATGTAAGTTTTCTATAATATCCACGTAAGGCAGAAAGGACATTTTATAAATTGCAAATAACCTGGCTGTCACATTTCACGCTCACTTTAATTCTTTGTCATCAGATGGATCCGAAACTGTTCACGTTCCTAACGCGCGTGCATTACCACGACCCTGGAGATGGCGTATGGGGCGAGCATGAGATCGACCACATCTTATTCTTCCAGGGTGAAGTCAGGGTCAAGCCAAACTCCGACGAGATATCCGAATACTGTTTTGTCCCTAAAAACGAATTTAATTCGTGAGTATCCCAATTTCCCATTTTTCTTTTATTTTGTCTTTTTTGCAGCTATCATATATGTCTGTTAACCGATAAATTTTGATAGATGCCACTAGAAAACCAATTCAGTTAGCAGCATGAATGACCATGGGCATCTCCCATTGGATGGTATGTACAGGACAATTGAGGGTCACAGTACTAGATTTCTTATACCTTTGACGGATAGCACCGTCCAAGACTAGACTAGTTACTTGTAGTGTGCTTTGTCAGTTTTTGTCTTGGTATTTTTAATCTTTATAACGAATTGTAAGACCATCTATAAAGAGGCCATCATTCCTCTTTCCATTATATGGCGTACCTTAGTCGCCTCATACAACATCCACGAGACGATATGGAATGGTGAAACCCTCTCTTTCTACTTCTCTCTCTTTCCCTATCTCGCTCGCTCTCTCTCTCTCTCTCTCTCTCTCTCTCTCTCTCTCTCTATCTCTCTCTCTCTCTCTCTCTCTCTCTCTCTCTTTCTCTTTCTCTTACGCCGACTCCACCCGGCAAAAAAGAATCAATTGCTAAATTTTAACTGTTTCTACAACTCCGGACTGACGGCTCCGTGGCGCAGTGGCTTAGCAATGAATTCCATCGCCAAGGGCCGCGGGTTCGAATCCCGCACGGAAGAAGTATTTGTATGGCCTACAAGTAATTGTTCTGGGTCTGGATGTTTGTCCTTGTGAAATTTATGTATGTAAACTGCTCCCACGATACAAGAGAAAATCCTAGTGTGGAGGTAAAGGTTTTTAAAACTGACTTACTTTTATCAGAGTAATAAACGTGCATTTGCCATTAGAAAGCTAATATGACGTAGAATAACATAAGATTAAAAAAGTAGGATTAGGGCGACGATTTTCGAGAAATTTTAAATTTATTGTAAAAATGATGAAAAAAATACCAGATTTTCATAAAAAAAACCTCTTTATTCTAATTTTATGACGTTCATTTTTTTGGAAATTTACTTTATTGGCACGGCTTATTATTAACAGTCATTTAAAAATTATTCCATTTTGATAGGACATTCAGTTTAAAAGTTATTATAATTTATTTAAATAGGGTTAGCAGCTGCAATTTCAAATTCTAGAATTTTCATTAAAAAAAATTATAATTTTTTTTTATAATTTTTCCGTCGATGAAATTATGTGTAGTTACCCTGGTTTTGATATGTAAAGTGCACTTTATAAAGACACACTGTATAATTAATAGAATCAAGCGTTATTTTCCGCTATCTTAAAGATGCAGAAATTAATTTGCTAAAGTCCGCGGGATAATAAAATAAAATGGTGTCTTACCTTTCTTGAAAACACATCACCGTCAATAACACAAACGTGTTTAACGTCTAAACGAGGTAACATCAGGAGAAGTAGACTGCAATGCCTAACCTAACCTATATAATCGAGTAAAACCATAGAATACTATAATACACAATAGAATGGCTTTCAACCTTATTTTGTACCGAGGTTCGGCGTCGCCGGGAGCACACATACAAGCAAGTACGTCGTATTATCAGTTAATCACTACTACAAACCCGATTCGCTGTGTTGACAGACGGATTTTAATACATATTTATTTGTAAATAGCGTGCAATTTGGCATTTTCTAAATAATTTGCATGCGAAATTTCGAAACGATTGTTACGTCAAAACACATCTCGTGTTGACATTTATACGTGTGAATTGACGTCTTGTGGCATTTTAGTGGCTACACAGGCTCCGCCCACACCCCCGTTCTTATTATGTATGTATTATAGTATTTCTATGAGTAAAACGTTTATATCTAATAAACGTGGAAAAAGGCTTAATTAATAATTGCTCATAAAAATAACAGTCGATATCAAAGTAAATAAACAAGTAGTAAATTAAAAAAATGTACAACCGACTTAAAATAAAAATAAAATGAGAACATCATCAAAGTAGTCGAAGTCAATTAAATACGCATAATTAGGGATAACTCAAAAACTACTGGTCATATCGTGATCAAATTAATATGGGACCACATGAGCAGCACCAGCTTTCTTATAAAAGACATAGAGTTATCAAAATCGGTTCACCTAGAAAAATGTTCTGAGGTAACACTCATTAAAAATATGCTCTTTGTGGAAATATCATTTTAAATTTAGGAGACTTATATTGTTAATTTGAAAATGATAATATATTCATTGAAGTTCAATGATATATACATAACTTTCAAATAAATGTGTCGGTACGATACGCGCATATGACCTTCGCGTTAGTGGAAGCATTAAGTTGACAAAGTTTTACCGCAATCTGATAAAGGTAATGTCAGCGCATAAAATACGTACAAATAAACATAAATTTTTATATATTAGATAGATCACATGTATCTAATTCTTAATGAAAGTCATGTTTTACTTTACCGATGGTTCGGAAAAAACCTCTGTCCTCGGAAGAACCAGCAAGAAACCCGGCGGGAAATTTTTTATGAATACCTGTCATAATGTCAATGCTTCAGTTAAGCAATAAGACACAATACAGACTGCCTCGTTGGTCTAGTGGTTGTAGTAGTGCGACTGCTGATCATGAGGTCCTAGGTTCGAATCCCGGGTCGGGCCAAAAATTAATTATTGAGTTTTTTCGTCAAGAAATTCTCAGTAGCCCGGAGTCAGGAAGTTGGTGGTGTCTCACCCCCGTGCCTCGGAAAGCACGTAAAGCCGTTGGTACTGCGCCTGATCTCTCTCCGGTCGTGTCGGTTTGCCGTCCCAATGGATTATGAGAGTGAGGGAATAGAGAGTGCATCTGTGTTTGCGCATACACTTGGGCACTATAATCCTGTCCTGCGCCGATGGCTACCCTCCGTTGAGGCAGGCCGCCGTGGCTGAAATTCGGTCTGGAGGACATTATTATAAGACACAATAACTTCACAAATTCAAATAAAAAAGCAAGCGAAGATACGGTTAGGACAAAAATGTCTTTGAGTTGGAGAGTATACATTTGTGGTGGTGGTGGTGATTTCAACTTCGCCTGTATATTCGGAAGTAGGCACTGATATCCTCTTCAGGAGAAGGAATCAACACGAGCATTGAAACAAAAACAATTCTAAATAAATAAATTTTGGCATTTCTATAGTCAGTTTCAGTCTAAGGGAGGAAATCTTATGGCTTCCGATAGATGGTGCTATAATCATGTCGCTTACATTAGACCTAAAATATCGTGGCATACCAATGATGATCACAAGTGCGAGACGTCTGCACGACATCTGTCGACGTTAATTAAGGCAAATGGGAAAAAGCTACATACAAACAAGAGAGGCGCGTGTCCAACATTGAAAGATACTACAGCCTATATACGTCCCACTTCTGGGCACAATCCTCCTCTCACTTCTGAGAGGGTTTTAGGGCAAGGAAGTATCTGCCGCGTTGCCCCAATGCGTGCTGACGTGTTCGAATTTTTTTTTATTACTCGGACTTGCCGGTGTTTCCACGCGATATTTTCCTTCACCGACGAGCTGTGGTAAATCCGCACTTAAATTGTAGTTAACAATTTCATGGGCGGGGATCGAACCCGGATTTCTCGTGTAATGTGAGATTTACAGCGAGCGCTAAGCCGGCTGAACTTTTATGGCCCGATAAACAAAATTATATTTCATATTTTATTATGTTCTTTATAATAAACTCTTTTGCAAACAAAACGGGTACCGAAGCAAAAAAAAACAATATTATTATTACTATTAGATTGTTTGATAACTTTAGGTAGCCTTCATACTCAGATTTTTTAAAATTAATTAGTAAGGAATAGTTTTCGACAGTTTTATAATAACATTTTGATTAAATTAATGAGAAATAATGTTAAAGTTCAAAGCGCTTGTTCTGCTGTGTTTTGCTCGTTAAGTAAAAATGAAACACGTTTTTTTGTTTGTTTTTTCCTAAATAAAGTAAAAGCAGATAGCAAATTAGGAGTTGAGTGTGACCATGCTAGCGAATATATCTCTTATAGTTTCTTGCGAAATACGTTCGCACTTCGCGGTTATCACATTCTTTAGTTCTCTGATGTTCTACAGAGCCGGCTGCACTGGTCTCACTCATCACTTCCGAATGTCACAGACATTGATCGAGCTGGCCAATCCAAACGACGAACCCCGACGTGTAGCATATCCGCTTAGCATATACGACCGTTGGGAGCGGAAGCGTTGTCGTCCATAAAAATTGAGTTTTCGCCAAGAGCGACCAATTCGGGTTGTGTGTGAGGAATTAGAATTATCGGTGTTCAGTCAGTGTACCGTTTTTGATGAAGACTAACTCCGTACGATTCAACGAAATTATTACTGGCCAGCACCGCACCGTGCAGAAATATCTTGGCTTCATCGAAAAGGATACCCTATTTCAGTCTTCTTGAGTCCATGATACACGATTTCGGGCGAAACAGCTTGGCAACTCAATGCTCACGTAGTAATTCAGGGCCGCGGGCTAAGCGATGACTGCGTGCGTATATTGGCAGCGATAAGTCTCCTCTCAGACATGAAGCATTGGCTGCAACCATAAACTATCCCGAGACCGCTAAACATCATTAACAATACTTTAAAATGTGAAGGAAATGACGTAATTCAATAAAAATTTATTTAGAACCAACCACAAATATATATATATATATTTATTTTCAAATAATTTATTTAGAGCACATTTTAATTTTGATGAGTTCGCGCCAAAAAAAAAATTTAATTTGGAACGTACTTTTTCAAACATCATGACACTTGTTACCGACCAGTAACATATACAAATGAATAAAACCTTTTTTGTACAGTATTTTTTCAGCTAGGAAAATAATCTCATTTGCATTATTTTTTTGCAAATGAATGTATTTTGTTTATTATAAAAAATATTATTTATTTTAGAAATAATCCATTATTATTTATTTTATAAAGTCCCATGTGGGCTTGGATATACCTATATCTAAATATAGGTCCCACGTTTGTGGGACTTGAAAAAATATATACCAACAGTTTTACTTGCCTAGCATGTCGTAAAATTGGACTAAAGTGATATTGGGTTTGTAATTGTGGTAGACCCTGGGCTAGCCGCCTATCGCTTATTACATAATTTTTAATCTAAACCCATAATATTTTTTTAACTCCGCCTACAGCCTTACATCACAGTTATGCATTTATTTTACTCGTTAAATAAAAGTTTAATAATCAACTCTTAATGGAGTTTTTCTAAATGGCTTTTTAATTGAGGTTTAATTAAAGCTAGTGGTCGCCTAGTGGTCGAAATGACTTATATTAAATTAATTCGTTATTTTATTATAATGAATTACATAAAATTTTACAAACTTGTATATTAAGCAAGGTGTGTACTTTCAACTGCACAATAATAAATTAGAGAAACACAAATATTTATCATACAAAATATAAAATAAATGCTTTTTCTTGCCTATTTTGTACAGACTATTTAAAGAGGATCACCAAATATTTGCGAAATTCGCAGCGCACCGGCAGCATCGTCCTTACAGCCTATCAAAAGTGCACTGTTGAGCAGAGGCCTCCCCCATAGATTGCCTCATTGGGGAAATATTATGAAATATGGCAAGTAGATTGCTTCATAGGAGGGATCCCTTTAAAGCGATCTGTGGGAGCTAGCTAGCTATGGAGGAGGCCTATATTTTTTATATATGAGAGGACTGCCTCGTTGGTCCAGTGGTTGTAGTAGTGCGACTGCTGATCATAAGGTCATGTGTTCGAATCCCGGGTCGGGCCAAAAAAAAACAAATATTGAGTTTTTCTGTCAAGAAATTCTCAGTAACTGCCCGGAGTCAGGAATTTGGCGGTGTCTCACCCCCGTGCCTCGGAAAGCACGTAAAGCCGTTGGTCTTGCGCCTGATCTCTCTCCGGTCGTGTCGGATCGGATCGGATTATGAGAGTGAGGGAATAGAGAGTGCATTTGTGCTTGCGCATACACTTGGGCACTATTATCTTGTCCTGCGCCGATGGCTAGCCTCCGTTGAGGCAGGCGGCCGTGACCAAAATTCGGTCTGGAGGATATTATTATTATTATATATGAAAGGGAGAAGCAAACGAGCGTGCGGCTCACTTGAAGGGACTACCGCCGCCCACGAACAACCGCAACACAAGGGAAGTTGCAAATGCGTTGCTGGCCTTTTAAAAAAGAGTACGCTCTTCTTTGAAGTTGTGCGAGGGAGAAAATTTCTTATAAATCACACAGTGGTGGACCGCCATTCATCCAGATGGTATGGATGATATCTCGAGTTTTGTCGCGATGTGCAATTGTGAAATTGAGCGCCTGGAATTAATCCGAACAATTCCTCTGAGCATCAATCTCTCCGATTTCCGTGAAAGATACGCAAAGAGATGCAACATCTCTTCGCAGCGCCAGTGAGTCAAGCTGATCAGAAAGAGCTTGGTCGCCGACGATTCGAATCGCTCTGCGCTGGATGCGATCAAATGGAATGAGCTGGCACTGGGAAACCCCAGCCCAGAGATGGGAACAGTATTCCATGTGAGGCTGAACATGCGCCTTGTAAAGTTGCAGGCGGTGTGCTGGCATGAAATATTGTGCTGTACATTCCTGATCGCGTCAAGCTTTTTAGAGGCCATTGACCACGAAACTGCACGTCATTCAATATGTCTGAGGCAACAAGGGAGTACCCTGAAACTAAGGAGATACGGCAAAGGGGTTCTTTGTAGCGGTAAACGCGCAAACTTGTGTCTTCTAGTGATTGAACTGTATTAGATTTAGTCGCCTCCAATCCGAGACTTTGATCAACAGTCTCGTCTGAAACACAAGTTTCTTCCGGTACTCGTTGACGTTTTAACGAGAAATATTGGCACGGCCGTTGTTTAAAGCATCACCAGTGCTGTCGTCTGCATAGCATAGAATGTTATCGATTTACAACATATCATTAATATGCAGAATAAACAGTGTTGGTAATAGCATGGTCTTGTGAAACACCAGTGTTAATAGTAGGCTTGTAATCGAAGCATGCACCGTCTACTACGACCTTGATGCTCCGATCAGTCAAAAAACTGGTGATCCAACTGCACAGGTTCTCAGAAAGCCCATAGGAAGGATGCTTTGAAAAAAGCGCTTTGCGCCAAACCCGATCGAAGACCTACGCTATGTCCAAACGAACCGCCAAAGCCTCCCCCTTAGACTCGACTGCCTGCGCCCATCGATGTGTTAGGTAAATAAGAAGATCACCAGCTGAGCTACCCCGACGGAAACCGTAATAGCGGTCACTATCAGCTGGTGCTCTTCAAAGTACCGCATGAGCTGGCAGTTAGTAATAAACTCCATTATTTTTGAGTTCAAGGAGGTGATGGCAATTGGCCTGTAGTTGAACGAATCAGAGCGCTTAACTATGTTCAGCGATGGCCTTTGATAGGCTATAATGATGACGATGATAAGAGAAAAGAGAGAGGAAATTTTGTGAGTAGTTACCTAAGGTATTTTACACCAATCAAACAAACCAAACATGATGAACTATTTCTTCTTCAATTTCCATCAAATTGTAAAAGTCTTTTGAAGGGACGTATGAGAATTTGCTTGAGACTTCACGGTTGGATTCATCAATCCGCCTAATTTGACGATCGAAGTACCAGACGTCTCACACCTTTAACTATGCTGTCCTGCGCGATCTGGGTATTGCACATCCCGAACAGCGAGGTTGGGCTTTATTATCGACTTGACAAATTCACACTACTCACTCTCATTAAATTCGGTATATTTACGTTTAGTGTAAACGAAGTGATTGTACTGCTAGCTATCGAATACGAAAAGCTATAAGATTTTTCCAGCATGTCCTAAGTCGTCACTTACTATACCCGTGCCACGGGACATAAGACTTCTCTTACTCCCCTTATTCCTTATTTCTCTTTATTTACTGTTTACAGGTTCATACCGACCCTCGAAGGACCTTTGACTCCGTGGTTTAACATGATTCGCCGCCATCGACTGAAGCTCTGGTGGGACAATCTTCATCGCATTAAGGAACTCGCAGAGCCCGACAAAATAAACAAATTCCTTAACGAAAAATAAATTATTAATCCTCAAATATTAAATGTGTAGTCTGTAATATTTTCGTGGGTGAAGCTATTTAAATTATTTTAAACCATTGTATTACTATTATATATTTTCGTTCTAAGGATACTTGTATTTTTCCTGTATTAATTATAAGGACCAGGCGCATTTCTTATGTTATTTAACCTTTAATTAAGGTTAAATATTATTTACGGCTAATTTAATTTTATTGTTTCTGATTTATCTGTAATATATTTTATCCAACAAAACTTATGGTATCATTTACCTTCTGTCGTTTTTTTTGTTTATTGATGTTAATAATCGGGAATGCAAATCTCGCGAAATTGGGGCTCAAGCGAGATCTCGCGAGTTTATGAATAACAATACTGTGAGATCTCGCCACTTTCGAGATCTCGCGAGATTGGCAGTTTTGTGTGTTTTTTTTGCAAATAATACCAATATTTGAATAAATTAAGAAAAAAATGATAAGTATCATAAGATAAACAATTATTATCACGAATTTTTTCAATAGACTTATGCATCATTGTTTGACGTATATGTCTATAATTTTTCAATAAACTTCTAAGTAATAAACTTTGACGTACGTATCTATCAAATAAGTAGACAGAGAAACCTATAGACAAATTGACGCCTTCTTTCGCATTCGCACTCGAAAAAGATAGATTTATGCATACGTCTTGCATAGAAATGAGACAAAGCGGTATGATTGTTTGTCCCTTTCTCCGTGCCGGTTTTTTTATTTAGCAAACTACACTTTGCTAAACAACTTTGACAGTTCGTAGCAATCTAAGAAGTTTCCAAGTTGGTTTAAGTGAGAAAAAAGTGTTTTGTGAGCTTAAGAATGGTGAATCTTGTTCAGTTCAGCTCTTAGAACAATTAAAATGTTTATCTAAATATGTTTAAAAGTCATAAAGATTATTGTATAACCTAAAACTACGTTATCGTCCTTTCTCAGTCGAGGCCACGCTAATCATTAGTCTACGATCAAATAACATATAAAAAATACAACCAGTTTTCTCTTCTAATATCAAACAAAAATCTTTTAGCAATAAAACAGTTTTTATAACAAACAAAACAACGAGAAGTAAAAAAAAATTAAACTTATTCTAAGTTGAGTAGACTATTAAACTGAGATATTATTAGCAATTAAATAAAACTGTATTCACTCAGTAGATCCATTAGATATTACAGATTAATTAACAAAATATACTAATCAAATGAAAGATTTGTTCAGTTCAAATCACAAGCCATTATTACGAATTATTTTGAAACTAAAAGCACTAAAAGCAGGAGCTAGTTTGGACATTTTTTGCTTCTTAAGGATAAGAAGCACAAAATGTCCAAAGAATCGTCTGCTAAACATTTATGCTCGAGTGCAATCTCGTTTAAACTCGCGAGATCTCGCCCATTTTTCGTCCGAGATCAATCTGCTAAAAAAGGCCGAGATTTCGCGCGAACGAGACTGCATTCCCTAGTTAATAATGCTGAAGGTAGAATATCGAAAATACCATCTATATATTAAAGAATAAGACCAGAGTGAACAAAGTACATAAGCTTCATGCAAGCCACACAAACAAGCGCAGGGTTCACCAGGTTATTCCGTTTATCCATCCTAAAAAATCCACTCTAGGGTGGATACTCGGAAACGCGTGTTCTGTGTATGTATTACATTTTATTTCTGACGATTTTATCCTTCGGCTGTGTACAGTCATTTCTAGAAACATGATGAAAACTGGCTAAGTTACTTAGTTGACATTACCTATAAAAATATATACGTAGACTTCTTCTTTGAATGGTCAACGCTGAAATAAAAACAGTACATACCTTACAGAATTTCATTCATTGGATTTTTTTGTAGAAGAAGGGTGACAAACGAGCACACAGTCCACCTGATGGTAAGTGGATGCTATGGCTCATAGACATCTACATTTATCCTCGATCAAGAATCAAAACGCAGATGCGTCGTCACCCCTATGGACTAAGATGGAATGCCTCGTTTCCAGTAAAAAAGGGTCTCCGGATCTCTACACTCACCATACGAAATACAGCAGTATTAAGTTGCTATTTTACGCTCGTATTTTGTGAGAGCGTGGTCCTTCCCCGGTCGAGCTGACCCATTCGTGCTACAACCATAATATTGCTGCAGCATAGCTCTACCATATATCTTGGAATCAATTTAAAATGAATATAATAAAAATGTCAATTGCAGATGTCTGTACATTTTATATCTTTATAATAAAAGTGATTGGGAGGGACTAAAAATAAGTAAATAAATACATTTCTACCATTTTTAGAATTGTCTGTCTGTTTGTTTGTTAACGTATCACGTCTAAAGTACTAATTTATATCAAATTAATCGGTAAGGAAATTAAAAAGCATATCTTTGTGTTAAATTTAGTGTTTGTTTTATTAAAATTGGTTCATTCTAACAAAAGTTATGATTAATATTCGGAAATATGGGCACGAATTATAAGTACCAGTTGGTCCAATGGCGGCGTTGAGTCATCAAGTGCATTTTAATTTTATGATATAATAATAAATCATAATTAAATGATATAAAATAATTTCCATAACGATATAATTATATCCGAAACGTAGAAAACAAAAATAAGAAAGAATAACGTAATAACTTTGAGTATTAAACCAAAGGAGGCAGTATCGCAAGGCATACCCCTCTGTCAAAAGTACGAGAGTCCGACTCATACCCATTATATAAAACTAGAACTAGTAGCTCCGCGTCGTGCACCATTACGCAAGTGATCGTGCCCAGTGCCAGTCATAGATAATACACTATGGTGCCAGTCAATTGAGCTCTGGCAAAAATGCCGAATGGCAGTGTATTTTCATTCAAAAACCAATCAAAACCGTCAATCCTACAAAAGGACAACGTGGCTTTTCATCTGTGAATACTTATAACATAATATTATCATCGTTAAAACTCGTATTTTCTGAATGTTATCGTAAAATACCAAGTGTTGCTAGCATAGTTCATGAAGTGAAAATAAGCGATTTTAAAATAAATATAATTTACTACACAAAATAAATATATTAACGAAAATTTATTTCATGTAAACTAAATCAGTTTGTGTAGAATAATAATCAAAAACGACCGTATCTTAGCGAACAGACTGTACACAAAGTATAAATTAAATTAAATAAAAAATTAAACTAAAAAACGCCTCCAAATAAAAAGCAATGGGCTTCAATGGCAGTAAAATTATTTAAAAAAAAAGTTACAAATTTGCAAGAAATACTAGATTCGCTGATAGAGACATCTTTGATAAACTAAGAAAACATACAGGTACTAGAAAAGACAGGCACTGAAGAAAGCGAACTTTTAAAGAGACAATTACTTACTTTTAAGTCTGGAAAACTGCCCAGAACTAAATATTTCACAGAAAATCCTATCGCTATGTACGTAAAACTTTTGAAACTTGTTCGCCTGCACCACGAACATTGACAAAGTGGTACAGTATCATCAATGGCCGAGCAGGGTTTACTCAAGGAGCGCTGACGGCATTAAAATTGAGAGCAGAGTGTAACCCTGATAAAGAAATGACTGTACCTTGGTCATGAATGAAATGAAAAATGGCAGTTGATGAAATATCATGCTCGCAGCCAAATACATTATGGCTATGTCGACTACGGGTTTGATATTAAACCCGAGAATTTCGATGAAGCTACTGACGCATTAGTGTTTTTATTGCTCGATATAAACACAACGTGGTAAGTACCCATAGCCAACTTTTTGATTAAATTTGAGTATGATCAGTCTTTCAAAAACTGGTCATAATAATATTTACTAATAAAATCATAATTTTATATTACACCTAAAAACACTACTGGCTGTATGAGGTAGCTCAGTCACTCAGCGAGCTGCGGAGACGGCAATGCTCGGGGTTTTCTGCGTGATAAACATAGAAATAAGGACATTCACGGTAGAACCAGAGAGACCCACATAGCCCAACGGATTAGTAAACTGAGATGACAATGGGCCGCTCATATAGTTCGAAGAATCGACAAACGATGGGGGGGAAAGGTTCTCGAGTGGCAGCCTCGTACTGGTGGGGGAAGTGCAGGGCGGCCCCTCAATAGATGGAGTGACGACCTGGTAAAACATGTAGGAAGTCGATGGATGCAAGTGGATCAGAACCGTGCTTCGTGGCATCCCTTCGTGCTTTCAAGTGGATCAAAACCGTGCTTCGTGCTTGCGTAAATGCAATGAACACAAACATAAATGCTGTAGTATGCGTGTATAGTGACGCGATTAAATTTTGTATTTGTTGAGAAGTATACAGTAGTGTGTTCCCCCCCCTCCCTCCCCTGAAAGTGACAGACTTTTTGTTTAGGAATTAACGAGCATGGCCTCTCCAGTTGGTTGAGTACTAAAAGTATGCATAGGACCGCTGTGTCTATATATTTGTACTTATACTTTGGCACAAGCTAACGCCTGCGTATGGCTACTCTCGTGCGAGGCCGCCCGTGTTACATACATTTTCAATCATGTTTTTATTAAGGGTACGGATGATCGCGGGCAACACTCGTTAGCGCATATCGCCTACATTAATATTTCTGTATTATGGTATTTCCATATCCCAAATTGAGAAGTATAATTAAAGTAATGTTACAGCCTATATAAGACCCACTGCTGGGCACAGCCCTTCACTTATTTCTTAGAGAATTTTATGGCAAGGAAATGTCCGACGCGCTGCCGCAATGTGTGTTGACGACCTTCACATGTCTTCGAAATATTTTTTTTCTTATTTCTCAGGCATGTAGGTTTCTTATTTATCAGTCATGTAGTTAATCAATATCATTGGTGCTGGCAGTATCAAACCCGGGTTGCTCGCATACTGTGAAACTTACAGCGGCTAAGCTAAGCTTAGCGGTCAGCCGCCGTAGAGTCTACATCACCTGAGGATGCCTCGTGCAGAGGCGAAACACGTGTCGTATTATCTTCGATGGTGTGTCTTTCCTGGAATATTGGTGTTAGGAGTATGGTGCCGGGGTAGTGGTGTTGAGAGTAGTTGAGCTGTGATTAGTGGTGACGGGATTAGTGCACGCAATTGAGGGAGGGCGGGAGGTGTTCTTCAATTCAGGTAAGACACATCATTGTATTTAGTTAGCAGATGGTTGCAAATTAATTAACATCTTTATTATAATGGATTTCCGCAAAGTAACGCCTGATTTTACCAATTATTTTAGGTTTCTTCTTTTTAGATTTTAATAAAGTCATTATGTAATTTTTAGCAAACATGTAAAAGTAAAGAAATTCGTCGTCCATAGTAAAACGTTTGAAAATGATTACGGCCATCGTAGATTATTGCACGATAGTTCATGCAAAATATCGAAGCCGCTAATATTTTACAGTTTTTATTGCTATAACTTTTAGTGTCAAAATGTACGAAGCTTCGGGACGATAAACGCAGGTGCGACCGAAGCATAAAGAATTGTCAAACTTTTACACATACCTATATACTGTGTTTAATAGGTGAGTAGCGTAGTATTTAACGGACTTCAAAAAAGGAGGCAGTTATGTATAATATTTAGTGTATTTATATAACACGATAAGGGCGTTCAATGTAGTCTAGGTATTAGAGTGATTTGTTAATAATGTGGGTAATTAAAAAATATTCATTAGCTTACGCATGGAGGTTAGAGAGAAGGACAACGATCGCTACGTGCTAAAGCATAGCCCGCCTGTCCCTGAACTGCCATCGGTAAGTTGTATCTGCGAAGTTAGCTGTTTATGAGTACAAGTACTTCAAGTTAGTTGAATAATGTACAAATTTTCTTCGCAGCATTGGTGATAAAATAATCGTGCTCCGTAATTTTTTAATTTTTGACAAAAAGAAAATTGGGATGGGTTAGGAAAGGACATTAAAAAATGGCGAAATATTGTATTGTGCGTGGATGTGCAAGTGGTTTAAAATCTGATCGGAAAAATAGACTGAAAATGACTTTTATTAAGACAACTTAGCGATCGCAGAGCCTTACTTATTTTGTCCATGTTTTTGGAACACTATTTTCTACAGCGATCGTCCTCCTTCTCACTAACCTTCATGAGCTTACGACACTACGTGAGGGTATAAATTTGAAATTTCGTCTTGATAACTTCAGTACTTCTTATGTACCGTACCTTCAGTAATAAATGACAAGAATGACTGACTCGACAATGTTGAAAAAATCGAACACCATGTGTTGATTAAATTCCTCACTAAACATTGAAAAACTCAAAAAGCATCAATGAAGAAATGGTGGCCGTTTATCAAGTCTCTGCTCCTTCAATGTCAACCGTACAGGCAGGGAGAATATCGAAGATAACCTCCGCCCGGGTGAGCTAATCACAGCGGCTACAGATGAAAGGCTGCTGTACGAGACTGCGGGCTTAAGGAAATTAACCATCCACCATACAGCCGAGATCTAGCCCCTAGTGACTATTTTATTCCCAAACTTAAAAAAAGACCTTCGGGGAAAGCGATTTACTAAAGCTAAAGTTCAAGTCCGTGGTAAATGAGCATTTTTAGGCCAAAACGATGAATATTTTTTCAAGAGAATAGAAAAGCTTTTTTTACGAACAAGTAAATGTATTGATGTCATGGGGGACTATATTGAAAAATAAAAAAATGCATAATTTTATCTTTTTTCTAACATTGAGTATGTTAGGAAAAAAATACCGAGAATATATTGAACGCCTCTAGTACCTATCTCCGAAATTAGTTAAGCATTTGTCTGATATTTTTATGATAGGATACTCTTACTTTTTAATATTACTACTACCTTGTTTTGGGTACTAAATAATATTTATTCGAAAACAGGCTTTAACAACTCATCAGAACTATTAATATCCGACGCAGACGAACTCGAGCATTTTCTCAAACCCGTCCTTGAACTTCCCGTAACCCATTGCAGGGTACGCGCTTGTTTTATCTTTTTCTTCCTAAAAGATTTTCTTTTGGTAGTCCCCGTCTGCTGCAACTTGGTGTCTGTTGCTGAACGTAATAAGTAAGCATAGCACGTGATTTGATTTCCACAGTGTAAGCCATTTTTATAAGCCGTGTGTAAGTACCGTACAGCTATCACTTGAATAATCTGTAAAACAAAATTTAATCTGTGGCGAGTTGGCTTATGCAAATTGCCGTTTTTTTCTGATTATGACCTTTTTTCATTCATTCATTTACCACATCCTAGCAAAGTCCACCGCTGAACGTGGACCTTCTCATAGATTGGCCATACGGGCGATAGTTGCCTCTTTTGGCAACGCTTGGCAGACGGGTTGACAGACGGTTTTTAGTTATTAGTTTATTAGGGAGACTCTGCTACCCATCTCTCGTTATGTTTAATTCTGTCACTTACGACATCCAGGGGACGATATGAGATAGTGTATATTTTTACACCGCCACAGCACTCAATATGACCACTATGATATCATGTTTGGTTACTTTCGACAGTTGCTATAGTTTGGTGTATGCATGGTCAGAATCAACTACTCGACTATACGAAAAAAATTATTGGTTGATAAAATATAAATAGCTATAGTACGTTGTGCCATATGTTGGCGGCTCCCTAAATGCCGCCCAATCGTAATCAAATCTACTTTTTGTTCTTGTGAGTGTTGTAAAAGGCCAGAAAGAGGTGTGAAAATATCTACTACCGCCCTGGTGTCGTAAGAAGCAACTGAGGGAAACTGAAGTAGGAGATGGGCAGCAGCATCTTTCTGGCTACTGCTCACAAAAACAGCGGTTGCCAATCCGCCCGCCACGCATATCAACTATGGCAAAATCCATCCTATGATACCCTATATTCAGCAGTGGGTTTTATAGGCTGCAACCGAAGAGCATTCCAGAAAGACATGGCTTCCGATAGACGGCAGTATATAATAGGTCGGCGAAAAAGTTTCTTCGTATTTGGTTTATATAAAATTAAAGAAAAATCTCTTTGGTTGTACTGATTGTATCTGGCTGGTTTTAATATTTAATACATATAGGACATCAAGAAAATGAGAAATAAAAAGTTAAAAAAAAAAACACTTTTCCGCCATTTTTCAATTGTTTTTCTGTCTGCCAAAATGAGTGAATCTAACGAAGAAAATCGATATATTCTGAAGTTTCAAAAAAGTGAAAAATGCAACTCAAGTCTAAAAAAAAAATGACTTCTATGAACCTAATGCAGTGTCAGTTAGAGTAGCACAAAATTGATTCAAGCGTTTTAAGTAGGGGAATTTAGATGTCAAAGATTTAGATCTCTCTGGCCACCCTCATACGGATAAAGTCATAATGTAATGAATCGTGTACACTTTTGCGATTCTCTATTAAAACGTAATGAAACTGAAGCATACTTGAAGAGATTGATCACTCATGATGAAAAGTGGATCGCCTACCACAAGAACGTGTGGAAAAGATCATGGTCAAAGGGTAGTCAAGCTACACAGACTGTAGCGAAATCCGGATTAACACGCAACAAGGTGATGGTGGAATTGGAAGACCATCGTTTATTATGAGCTTTTATCGTCGAGCAAAACCATCGCTTCGGATCTCTACTGCCAACAACTAATGAGAAACAAGTAAGAAATTGAGAAAAAAATGGCTGGAATTGATCAACAGAAAAGTAGTGGTCTTTCATAATGACAACGTCAGACCACACACACCTTTGGCCACTCAGCAAAAAATTGAGAGAGCTTGGTTGGTAGGTAAGTTTTCACCATATAGTCCTGACCTTGCAACATCAGACTTTTACCTGTTTCGGTCTCTTCAGAATTCATTGGGTAGTGTTAGGTTAACATCAAGAGAGGACTGTCAAAACTACTTGTCGCAATTTTTTTAATCATAAATCCCAAGATTTCTAAAGCAAAGGGATCATGCTACTACCTACAAAATGGCAACAAGTTATCGAACAAAATAACACATATATCAAAGTTAAATGTAATTAAACTTTGTTAAAAATGTCTTGAATTTGTATATAAAGTATGAAGTAACTTTTTCCCCGACCTTATTTATCTCTTTTGAGGTTCGATACGTCTAGTCAAGACAAATCCTTCATTTAATGGGATCGCAGTGGAGTTATAAGGGCTGATGAAGTACTAACCATCTTTATTATCATCAGGGACATTACTGCATTAAACCGCCAGGACACCGACATCATCTCGTTTATCAGTTTCTCTTCGCAACCCTCCGACCAGATAGTGAGTTGCTTCTGAAATTTTTTTTAAGACATTAGACAATAGTTATGTATTTATTCAGCGATTTACACTCATACAGTTCAGATAGAAAAAATAAAATTATTACATAAAAACATCGAAGACAAACATAAATAAGAGAAAATAGACATAAAATAATCTTGCGTTTTGACGATTACACGAGTGATGTGATGCTGAAAAAAGCACAGTCTAATTATAATGCTATACTCGTACCATGGTTGCGCTAACGTTGTGGTTTCAGCAATGCTGAGGTTGAACCCGCGAAGATAGTGTATGAACGCTATATTTCTAAGTTCAAGAAATATGTAATCAAAATTATGAAATAATGAAATGCAAAAGAATTCGAACTTTAGATATATGTAATATATACAACCTACCTACCTACCTATATAATAAATAATATAATAATTACCTATGAACAATAAAACATATATAATAAAGATATTTATATAACTGCCTTTTATCCAGCTTATGGTTTGCACTTATTAATACATGAATAACCATTTGTAAAAAATTCTGTTTGTCTGTCCGGGCTAATCTTTTGCATGATCTTTGCGATCTTTAGGATGATGAAGATGAAGAAGAGAATAGAGATGCTTGAAACAATTGAAAAAAAAAACCAAAAAAACTTTCGAGTATTTTTTGATATCGAAAAATTTATAAAAGAAATGGTCATAAATGATTATTTAAAAAATATAAATGCCACCACATAAAACTAACCGCCACATAAGCCAGCCAAAGCCAGGGCGACTCACTAGTTTATTATAAAATTTTGCGAATAATGAACATTACAAACTCATCCCAATCCACACTTCCATGTCAAATGCTACATGACAAATGTAGCTTTAGCAACAAACCGATAGCAGCGTTGAATACACTAATCAGAAAATGTTAAAGACAAATATCGCAGTTAATGGAAGTATCATCACTTGTATACACTGAAGATCAGAGGAGTTTTGGTAGGAAATTGACTGTCGTGCCGCTGCTGCTTCAAAGCACTCGCGATACTTTTGGCATTCGCGATTAGCTGATGCTAATCAGTTTAGAACCCGTAAATCAAAACCGGTTGTGTGTCATGTTATGCTCGCCTGACAGTTTCAAGAAGTTCTCGACCAGAAGTCGCTCCCAAGCCTCTTTACTACCACGATCACTCACTTGCTTCCTAAAGATCGGGATACCACAGACCCGAGCAAATACCGCTCCATCACGGGTCTACTGACAACCATTTTGAGCGCGAAAATCACTCGTCACCTGGAGCTAAATCAGGTGATGTCACGCATGATGGTCATGAAACCAAGGAACCACTCCTGATTAACGCGGTCATTGGCAAAATGATTCACCGCAACCGGCGTAACTTCTCCGCCGGCTGGATAGACTCCATAAAGGCATTCGACTTGGTGACCCATACATGGCTTAAGAGGGTCCTCGAGCTGTACAAGTTTGACTCTACAATTAGAGAGTGTATGGGGATAGTGGAGTACGATCTTTTGTCATCTAGGTGAGTGGATGACAGCTGCGGAAAACCGCATAAGGATAAGAAGGGGTATCTTCCAAGGCGATTGTTAGAGTTCAATCCGGTTCTTCCTCTCTCTGAACTCTCTCAGGACTTTACTGGAGGGCTCCGGCAGGGGCTTTTAGCTTTGGAAGGGAGGGACAAAAGTAACCCACCTTTTCTATGTGGATGATCTCAAGTTATTCATCTCCAGTCGCTCCCATCTTATGGAATTGAAGAACATCTCTTGTGAATTCAGCAATTCCATCAGAATAGAGCTGGGGACGGATAAGTGTGCGCTCTTCCATGTCGAAAGGGTAGGGTTGCTAACTCTGAGGGCCTTACTTATGCCTATCAACTTAAGGACCCTTTCTTGGGCAGAAACATACCGATATCTGGGTATGTCACAGAACATAGGATATTGATGAAGCGGACATGAAACAGTCAGCTTGCGATGTGTTTTATGCACGCTTGACAAAAGTTCTTAACATCCTTTTGTCGAGCGATAATAAGACACATGCATATTAACGGTTGGGTCATGCCTGTTCCCATACCTTTGGCATGCTCAGATTGACTCTGACCGAACTGAACGCTCTGTATAGAAAGGACCACACTGTTATGACGACCCACAGGGTGCATCACCCGAGATTATGGTGGGCGCGGCGTTTTAAACTCTCTCACCATATATGTGCCGCGAAGTGTGCAGCCTCAATAATTACTTTCTGGGGAGATCAGATGATCCATTTTACAAGGACGTCATTTCGTGTGACCCGACCCCTCTACCCTTAGCCAACGAACAAGATCCAACAGTACAATGTATTTCCGACCTAGAGATCGTATGAAAGCAGGAGGAGCTCCACGACAGGTTCTACAAGGCGCTTCATGAGTCTTTCGTAGGTACAGTTGCCTCTCTCCATTGGCTACGCTTTGGCGACCTCTTTGGAGAGACCGAAGTTTTAGTGTGTGCAATAGAAGGTCAGGTTATTAACACCAACAACTATCAGAGATATACATCCTAAAGGATGGCACCGTCGATATATGTTGAGCTTGTCGCAATCCCAGTCAGTCACTTAGGTATGTCATCTCTGATTGTTCGGCACTTTCTAACTCTGAGTACTTGCACAGGCACAACCTAGTAGTGAGGATTCTACATCAGGAAATCATCTGCATCTGAAATACGGTCTCGTGGATCTAAAACTTCCTTATTATAAGTACTTGCCGGAAGCCGTACTCGAAAATGACCGCGCCAGGCTCTACTGGGACCGGGACATCATCACAGACAAGATTATTCTTGTAAATAAGCCAAATATTGTGCTGTTAGACCGGGTACAGTCAAGGATATTTTGGCCGACATTACCAATCCACATGACGAGAACCTTGTGAAGGCCGAAACAGATAAGGAAATAAAATATCTAGACCTGGCTCACAAGGTGACTTGTGGGGTGGTCTGCAGACCGAAATTATTTTTGTAATCGTCTCTGCGAATGCTCTCGGATCATCTGAGGCGACTGGGACTCCGCGACGGACCGCCCCGGGCTCAAATGCAGAGGACGGTGCTCCCCGATACCGTCCGCATCGTCTGACGGTTTCTTTCCCTTTCCCCCTAAGCCTCGGCCGTTTGGTCTCATTGCCGAGGTCTTTCATCTGGTTGGGCTGCATTGGACTTTTATTTATTTATTATTTATTTATTTATGTTAGTACATTTAATATATATTAATGTATATTTATTATTTCCTTTTTTATATTTATTCAGCCTAATTAGACGAGGATACTTTATAAATACTCCTTCAATAATAATAATAATCATCAAATACAGGACTATTCTTGCGAATTAGCCTGATATTGCGCTGATCGACCGGGCACAGTCAAGGATATTTTTGGTCGACATTACCGTTCCGTATGACGAGAACCTCGTAAAAGCCAACAAGGTCAGGGCCTTGTTTGCTTATCTGTTTCGGCAGGACCTAGCTCACAGGGTGACCGACATGTGGGGTGGTGTGCCGACCGAAATTATTTTCTATTAATACCCCAGAATAATAATAATAATAACAGCCCTTTATTCAAAGGTTAATATTACAAGTCAAAGTTACCTACATCAGATAAATATATTTTTTTTATTTAGCTTCTGCTTCCAATTGTCTCTATAATCCTGTCTGTTTACCTTTCTTTAGCAATAGCCTCCTCGAATTGTCTCCACAACTCTCTATTACCAACTGACGGGCCATCAACCCATTTCCTGAACGGTCTACCTAATTTACCTTTCTTGTGTCTTGTATACCAATATATTATTATTTTTCTCCATTTGTCAGTTCCCCTAACTGTACCTCCTGTCCTCTATTTAAGCTTCTTTATTGTGACTGTCACATCTTTTGTTCTTGTATGTTTCTTTATAGTTGTAGTTTTTATCTGTCTGATAATCTTTTTCCCATCATGTTTCCCTTTAATGGCGCTTATATGAGCGTTGGTGAGGACCCAGGACTGGCAGCCATATGTGAGGACAGGCAAATACGACTGTCAGAGTTCATAGTCATGCTAGTATTTTTGATTTTCATTATTTCCTTTAGCCTCCAGTATTGATTCCAAACGTTTCCTATACGTCCGTCGATTTCCTTTGCAGTTACATCTGTTGATGAAATGATTTGGCCTATATAGATATCATCTATTTGGTGACATATAAACCTCAAGTCATTTTGTCTGCTTAGACACCTTGACAACTTGAGATACTACTATCGTTATTGACTGTCAACTGTCCTATGCTGCTATCAAACTCTACTAAAAACATAACAATGTTACTTATATTGTGAATAAAATGAACATATTCCATTATTACAGTATTACAGCGCTTAATGTATTCTTTCTGTTTTTTTTTTCGGTGGAATGCATTGTAGCCAATAAAACACAACTACATAATGTACTTAGTTCTTTCAATTTACGACTGCGGACGACCTTTGGATGTGGTTCAAATGAAGGACGAGCATAACAAAAATAAAGATAAAATTTGCGTTTATCTTTATTTTTGTTATGCTCCGCCGCAATTTTACCGCAGATGATTATGTAATCAAATTTCTTACAGCTTTTTATATAGATCACCCAGTCAATTGTTCTTTAAAAACTTGAAACCTGAAAAATTGGTTACCCCGGAAGGAATACGTCAGAATTGGAAAAAGTTTCCATCAGCTTCAAGCGCAGTGTATGGTGTTTCTTCCGGTAAATTAGATACCTACTTGAAGAGAGATAAATATAAGCGAAGTGAGAGATCGGCAATGAGGCTCGCCACCGGTCACGTTCCGGGCACCTGCAACCGACTCAAATGAAGAAAGCTTTAGATGCATTATCACCTCTGAGGACTGAGGTGGGATGCTTCACAGCTCACAGCCAGTATCTCTCTATACCCTTCAGAATGGAATATGGTATTGGTGCACTGCTATTTGACGGCAAAAATAGGTAAAAGAGTGGAACTACGTAGATGGAGTCCTAGTTTCTGCCCAGGAGTCCATCTGCGTAGTACTACACTATACTCTCGACGTAGTCTTACCAGCCGATCACCTATAAAAATTATGTAAGGGGTTGCTCTATATAAGGTGAGAAATCATATTATGATAAAGAAAGAAAAGTGTGGTGTGTGTGATCTGGATTAAGAAAGACATGCTACGGTGATTGCTATGCTATGAAAGAGTGACGAAGCAAATTTATAATGATTTCTTATATTTACGCGAACACAACACATTTAAATAAAACTAATTTTTACGGATTTTATCGTGCATATTAACTTATTTTATATTCCCGAAGTTTTGAGCACATTACATGATCACAGCCCTCCCCCCTGTTCTGACTCACTGTGGTGTTCGACGTCCCTGCGTCCCAATGTCGTAGTTAACCACGGCTACCTCCATATTAAATTTAATAATTAAATAATTTTAATCTGGAGGTAACCGTTTAATTTTAATAAGTAAAAACTAGTTTTATTTAAATGAAGCAAATTTATGCTTCTGAAATGACTGGTAGTCAGCAATGAACGTCGGTGACGAAAGTTTAGGTTTAAGATATTATTTATTTCTCAAAAGATTACAAATCGCTTACGAGAAATTAAAAATTTACAAGCAATAATAAAGGAATCCATTACAAGAATACAGAATATTAACTATAGATGTGGGTAAAACGTAAACAAATAAAAGAACAGTAAACATAGGTTTAACATCGCGCATAATTTGTAATGACGGAACAATTAATGCAACCGAAACAGAAATAAGGGTACTTAGAAACTAAGTTAGATTAAATTTTAGCTTGTATTTTTGTTTATATTTTTTTGGTTAATTTTCCAAAATATGGCATTTCAATAAGTTAGCGTTATACAGTTTTGCACCGTCAAACATTATATTTTTCTTACCATACTCTGTTCTAACTTTTTGTATGTATATATCATGGGCACGTCTAAGGTTACGATTGTGAAAATCTATATTTTTTTTAAATATTTGCGAATGAATGTCGTTTATAAGTATTTTACGTATAATTATGCAAGTTTTATATTGATATATTTGTGATATATTTTAATTTGGTTTCTTTATATATAATATTAGATGGTGTCAAATATTTATAATGAAAAAGTACCTTGATTAATTTGTTTTGGGTAGTTTGCAGTCTACGTAAATTTGTTTTGTGTGCTGTTCCCCATACCTCGATTAAATAGTCAATATGTGGTTTGACAAGTGTATTATATAAAATATATCGAACATTCAGTGGGAGACATCCTACTATATTTCGCACACTTCCTAAAAAAGAAAATTTAGAATTTATTTTCTGAATGTGTGGCTTCCACGTCAACCTGTTATCTAATATAAGTCCTAGTATTTTTCCTTATTTGCTTTATTTATATGTGCACCATTTATTGTGAGAGGCGAAAAGTCTGGTATCTTTTTGTTTTTAGCAGAAAAGATGACATAGTTAGTTTTTGATACATTAATAGTTAACAAATTGCATGAGAACCATTCTTGCAAGAGGTTCAGGTCTTTCTGGGCCTCCTCTAAGATTAAATTGATGCTGTGTCCGAAATAAAATAGGCAAGTATCATCCGCATACAAGGTGATATTTCCCTTTAAACCTATGTTGTTTATATCGTTTATATATATTAGAAACAACAAAGGTCCCAGAAATGACCCTTGAGGAACACCGTATTGAACAGGTTTAGGGCTGCTAACATGTTTATCTATTTTAACTACAGGTTTGTTTTTGTCTTTCTGGGCCAATCCAGTTATACCGAGTGCAAAAAGCTTACATAATAAAATTTCATGACTTACGGTATCAAATGCCTTCTTTAGATCAATAAAAGTTCCAAGGGCTATATTTTTTTGATCTATACTGGTTTTGAGTTTTGAAATAAGATCGATTGATGCAGAAAGGGTATTTGATTTAGATCTAAAACCATACTGATGCTCAGAGAGGTGTTTGTTTAAGGTTAAGTAGTCACTAAGGCGTTTATGTAAAATTTTCTCGAAAACTTTTGATATAGTAGGAAGTACTGAGATTGGCCTGTAGTTTCCTGGCTCATTCCTAGGTCCTGTTTTATAGATTGGAGTGACTTTAGCGAGCTTCAATGAGTCAGGGAAATGGCCTTCCTGGATACATCTATTAATGCATTTTGTTAAGCAAACAGATATAGGGTCTATTATGTATTTAATAGTTTTAGAGCTGACCCCGTCAACACCCGTACTACTATTTAATTTAAGATGAGTCTATGGTTTTTTTTAATTTCCTGAACAGTAGCTAATTCAAATTGGTTAAGTTTATTAATACATTTAGTTGGTCTATTTTGCATTGTATGTAAATATTTCTTATGATACTGAGATGGAAATTGTTTTGCCAGAACAATACCTATATTTGCGAAATATTCATAAAATTTTTTGCAGGTGTTGTGTGGGTCGTTAATAGTGCCTTGAGCAGTGAATAGATCAGTGGGTGTAAAATTGTCTTTGGTTTTGTTGTTTGATATATTATTTATGAGTTGCCACATTTTGGAAGACTTACCAACACAATTTTCAAAAGCTTTATTATAATATTCTTTTTTGTTTTGAAAGTTTCTTTCTTTCCTTCTTAATCTTTTTGATGTTTCCCGGATTTTGTTCTGTATTTTGGTCGAGGGGGTCAATATTTTGATTTTTATAACTTTGTTACTTTTTAAAGCAACTTGGATAGACTCTTCAAGTGTAATATATTGATCATTGGTGTATTTCATATTCATCATGTCACTGTAGGAGTTTTGGTAATTTATAGCTTCATATTTATTTATTTTTTTGTAGATTTGGGCTCGTATTGTTTTACTTCAAAATATATTTGTTTATGATATGATAATGCGGATTCTATTATTGCCATATGATAGTCGTGTTCTTTTAGGTTAGAGCTGATATGGTCTAATATGGTTCTAGTGGTAGATGTTTCTCGTGTACAATACGTTGCATTTATTTAATTTAATATTTTAAATCCATTTTCTTCTATTATTTTTTTGTAGTCTTCAACTAGGCGTCCTTTTTTGAGTAAATCAAAATTGAAATCACCAAAAATTATTGCGCGTTTGTGGCTCTGAACTATTTGTGTAAATGTCTCAAAGAAGTTACTAGAGTTTTGTAAATGGCTCCGATTTCCAGTGAAAATCTTTTTAAGTGTATCCATAGATAGTGATTATTTTCTTCACATTCACTTTCTACAAAATGATGTTTTAAATTATTATGTACGTAGATTGAGACTCCGCCACCACTAGAATTGGTGTTATAGTAATGGGTGAAATTTGGTAATTTGAGTCTTTGTGCTTCGTTTTCAGATTTTACCACGTCTCAATCAATATGACGACGTGAACTTTCTGCAAGGATGATACGATACACTTAAGTTCATCAAGTTTCCCAGGCTTTACCAGGCTTCATATATTAGCATACATGAATGATCTTGTACTTCTATTTACGTTTATGTAACTGTTGACAATTTCATAAGTTATATTGTTTTATAGATCTTTTAAATAGGCTGTTTTTATACATGAAGTGTGGTAATTATGTTTGAGTTTTCCATTTAGTTTTTTCATTGATCTTTAACAATTTTGGGCATGCCTTTTATGTATTTTATGACTAAGTGCTCCTCGCCGTTTTGTGTCCGACGTTCTTTTCTCAGATCTTTTGTTTGTTGCTGTTGGCAGTCTTATCGGAGTATATTTTTTAATGAACTATCTGCCTGGATTGATTTATTTCGTAGGATACGTTTGGCTATTTCTTGCGACGGAAGACTTACTTTTAATGGTCGGATTTTCTTAGGGCTATATTTACCGATACGTCGTACTTGAATAGGATCAGGACATTCTGGAAATGTAATTTTTATTATTTTTAAAACTTCACCCATATCAGAAGCAGATCTTTGTTTGGAGGTTTCTCCTTTGGCTTCTGGGACTCCAACAATTATTAATTTTTTTTCTCTGAGATATCGTTCTTGTAATTCAGAAAATATTTCATTGCAGCTTAAATCTATTGCAATACTTTTGTTGTCTGATTTTGTGTTAAGCACTTCAATGTTGGCTACTAATACATCTATTTTTTCGTTTGTAGCAACTTGAGATGCCTTCAAATCAGTAACATCAAATTTAAGTTTGTTATGTTCAGTAATTATATTTTGTGTAGTAAGTTGTAGATTTTTATTTCTTCTTTTATTACAGAAACATCATCAGATATCTTACCCAGAATTTTGTTTTGTGATTCAACAAAACCTCTTAAAATACTGGTCATTTCTTTACGAAAATCGGCAAACTGTTCAGAGCTGATACATTCATGTTCAGGATGTTTCCTCTTTGTCCGAAAAGTTATGTGTTTTATGTCGGTTGTTTCAGTATTTAACATTGAGAAATCAGGACACATTTGAGAGCTTAACATTGAGAGCTTCCACGTCCGGATCATCATCATCATCATCATTACAGCCCTTCACAAGTCCACTGCTGAACATAGGCCTCCCCCAAGTAATGCCACAAAGCACGGTCCTGAGCCACCTGCATCCATCGACTTCCTGCATGTCTTACCAGGTCGTCACTCCATCTAGTGGGGGGTCGCCCTACACTACGCCTACCGGTACGAGGCTGCCACTCGAGAACCTTTCTTCCCCATCGGTTATCGGTTCTTCGAGCTATATGGCCGGCCCATTGCCACTTCAGCTTACTAATCCGTTGGGCTATGTCGGTCACTCTGGTTTTACTGCGGATATCCTCATTTCTGAGTCTATCACGCAGAGAAACTCCGAGCATAGCCCTCTCCATAGCTCGCTGAGCGACCTTAAGCGTCCTCATACGGCCAGCAGTGAAGGACCACGTCTCAGATCCGTAAGTCATCACTGGCAACACGCACTGGTTGTACAATCTAGTTTTTAGAGATTGAGGTATACCTGACGAAAAGATATGCCGTAATTTCCCGAACGCTGCCCAGCCGAGTTGAATCCGTCGATTGACCTCTCGGTCGAAGTTGGACTTACCTAGTCGGACTATTTGTCCCAGGTAAACGTATTCGTCAACAACTTCGAGCATAGTGCTCCCAACAACTACCGGCATAGGTGTGACATGGACATTGAACATGATCTTTGTTTTGTCCATGTTCATCTTAAGACCTATCCGTTGGGAGGCACTATTGAGGTCATTGAGCATAGTGCTTAAGTCCTCCAGCGATTCTGCCATAAGGACTATATCGTCGGCAAATCGAAGGTGAGTGATGTACTCGCCATTGATGTCAATACCGTATCCTTTCCAGTCCAGTAGCTTGAAAACGTCTTCCAATGCAGCGGTGAAGGATCGTCATGATGTCCGGATGGGGATCGTAATATGCTTATTGTTTAAGAAAAAACAATAAGAGATAAAATCAAACTTCCCTAGTGTGTACGCGCCCTAAGCACGTTTATCGACTAAATTGACGGTAAATTGACAGTAGGACAGATTAAGTGTACCCTTAACCGACGAGCACGTATGCGTAATTATAAGAATGTGGAAAAAAAAACAAGAAATGTGTCAGGATTGTGCTGAACGGAAGTCCGTAATCTCTGTCTACCCTCTTGTGACAGGCATGAGAGTTTATGATATTATGATGATTGGATGGATGATCAGCACTCTTAAGATCGACGGTGGTAGAGGTAGATGGTATATTTAGAGATTTTAATTATAATGTTTAGCAGAGAGTAAACACCTTGGTGAGTATATTTTATCAACGGTTTAAGAATAATCAATAATAGTCGATTCGAAATAAATTTTTTTGCTCCCAATGGTGATTCACTTTCTTCAATAATTCTGTTTGCTTACTACATTTTCAATAAACCTTTTGTCTTTCTCGCTTTTTTATATTGGTTGACTTACTATGTAGTGATTATATACCCTTTGAGTAAGTTACAGTCAGTAGTTACGTTAGCAAAGTTGTTTATACGTGGTAGAGCCACACTGCAGCTATATTATGGTTGTAGCATGAATGGGTCGGCTCGACCGGGGAAGGACCACGCTCTCACAGAATACCAGCGTAAAATAACAGCTTAATGCTGCTGTGTTTCGTATGATGTGTGTAGAGAACTGGAGATTAATCGAAGTTAAATGTAGATGTCTATGGGTCACAGCATCCACTTACCATCAGGTGGACTATGTGCTCGTTTGTCACTTTTATCCTATAAAAAAGAAGCAATGACAATGAAACAAAATGAAAATACCATGACTGATCTCGTCTTCTCACTAGGATCATCAGATCAAAGCGTATTCTTTCATTTTTTAAGTCTGTTTTATAATTTTTTCTAATTAACATAGTAACTCATTTAAATTAATTAAGTTTTAACGCACTGTAGGATCGTATTTATAAATAAGACCGATTTGTGTGACGCCATGATGTATACAAGGTGAGAGAGCGTCTTTAGAACAGCAGCTGTAAGGAACGTTGTCCGCGACGAACTTACTATTTGATCTGTAAATAGAAATATATAATTTTTTTTATTGAGAATTGGCTAGATACAATATTAAACATAATAAATGAAGTTAGAAATAAGGTTGATGAAGAAATTAATCTACGGATGCAACGCTGCAGGTCGCGGTTTGCAATTCCAACCACAAACCACCAAATTCTTTTCTAGATATATGCATTTGTCCTTAAGCAATTAATGAATATAAAATCACGGTAAATCATAAATAAAGTGTGGTAAAAAAATTATAATAAACTTAAAATTATAAATTAAAAACATATTGCTTACACAGCATCATTAGGTACGCTCTCACCAGTGTTGAACCAAGGAATATAAAACCATTCTTGGTAATCAACGCGCCCGCAGCAGTGGAACCTCGTCTGCAACCTGTCGATTGCCACTTTGGATGGCAAATGGCTGGCATATCTTATCATCGCTTTAGTAATCCCACCTTTTATTTTGGCTAAATTAAAAGGAAATATTTTGGAGTTAAAACGTAAGCATACTATTGTGGTTGTGCCTACTTTCTAACTTCGATCTTGTTTTTAATTATGGTGGATTATAATATAAAATAAGTTAATATAAGCGATAAAATCTATAAAAACTAGTTTTATTTAAATCTTTCTAATCTTGTTAGCTCGTAAAAGTTCACAACTGGATAAGTCCATTTGTGAACTCTCTCTCTAAAACGGGAGAGACCCTTGTGTCACTCTTTCGCCTTAAACTCAGCAGGCGAATAGACGATCGCAGTACAGTTTCTCACCTTTCACACTGCTTACCTTCGCCTGTCTGGGTATTTTACGCCTAGCAATAAGAGACGGTTTTACCACCATGTATCGGAAAGAACAGCTGTAAGATCTTTGTGACAATTCATTGCAGATGCAAACCCTTAAAAATAATGATGCATTTTCATGGTTTTCGTGTTATTCTTCTCATTTTTTTTCTTTATCTGACCGTAAAAATCCATTGCTGGTCAAAAGCCTTTTGTTGTGGGAACGATTTTGTTTAATCGTCACACATGACGAATGAATTGAGGATTGCTGTACAGACGTTTCATACTTTTAATCTATTAACCGACACCGATTCGGATTACATTATACATTATTGCTTTAATATAATGTTTAGTAATAAGATAAATATCCATTTTTCCGTTAGTTGAAATATATAAAACATTTTCTATCTTAATAAGTTTGCTAATAAAAATTGGAACATTTCCCAAACATGCTCTGATTAAAATGAGGATCAAGATCCGAAGCGTATCTGATCTAATTTTAATAAAATATGTATAAATCCAGAATACGTATCGCCATGTAATCGCCATATAGGCGTAAGAGAATCTACTACCCGATAAAATCACGGTTGAAAAGGAACACAGGTTCGGGCGTCCCTCTTGATCCTGAAAAGGACCAATTGAAAAGGACCTAGCGGATCGGGTACTAAGAAACAGGAATCGAGGCTTCTCTCGATCCGGCCTCCTATCACGCCTACGTTGGGTTCGGGAACAACGTATGTGATCTCCGCAACGGAGTAACACACTAGGGCGATAACCTCTTCCTTTTCAGCAAGTAGGTTCAGACGGGGATTACGGGTCTTCCGAAGTCGTCCCGGTCCCGACGCCTTAATTCTTCGATGTGGACTGTATAACTTAAAGGATCTTGGGAATGAAACAGCAATTATCTTCAAACCGTTCCGTGAGAGAGTAATCACTTTTCCCTATACTGCTGGTTTTTCACTTTTCTTGAACTTTTTCTCGGATTTTCTTATTTATTTCCGAACTATTTCCGAACTTCCCCGAACTATTTCCGAACTATCTCGAAGGATTCCCGAACGATTCCCGAACGAATTGCAATAAAACCCGTTCACTAAGCTACCCCAGAGCTATACGCGAAAGTGAGCCGCGCCATTCGCGCGCTTGCGCAACTCAATTACATGAATTTGTTCTATTACTCTCTCACGTTTTACTCAATATCTTTATTTATTCAAATCATATACAAATACAATTTATCAATATAGGTAGTACAAAACAATATCTACACCATGATATACATCATATCTTCATATCATAAAAAACCTTTTATTTATTAAACGAAAACTGCCTATTTTACTCACAAGTTCGAAATCGAAATTTCTTAAATATTTAACACAGAAAGTTAAAACAATGTTTCTCACTTGAATTTATACATAAGCTAACCAATACAATAGTTTAATTTACATTTTTCTATTTATTTCACTATTTAAAACACTTTTAAATTTCTTATACAAAACTATCATTATTTCACTTATACACAGGAATTTTCACATGAAAATAACACAGAATTCACCTTTTTTAGCACGTACAATTAACCTGAAATATTTTACAAGTAATTTTTACATAAATCACTGAATTACAAACATTTTAAATTTTTTACATATTCGGCCTCCTAAGGGCGTGGCCAGCGTGCTTCCGTGTACTCACGCTATGTGAACAACTAACTTTGCACGGCTCTCGGCTATCAGAAAAAATTAAATTATGAAATACACCAATTTTGACCATATTAGGCAAATTAAATGCTTTTATACAATTTTCGAACTGTATGAAACTATCTTTAATCAGATAACAATATAAATGAATGTTCTCATTAATCAATCATAACAAATAGGCATTTGTTTTCGTACAAAACGTATCAAACTTATACAAAACAACATTTATGCAATTAATATCCATTAATTCTGCCTATGCACAGAGTGATTATCTCGACCGGGGAACAAATCCGGTAACATAATTTATATCTTAAATTCCTTACGAATTTATTAAGCGATATTACTTAGGAAAACAAACAAACTAGTCCGGCCTGGGAGTCGAACCCAAGACCTTCATATCATTAATTCGACATTTCTTAAAGATTTAACTAAGCATTCTCTTATCAGAGCGTCGTTGCTCGTGACTACCCCTTTTTTCATAGCAACGTCATCGGTTGATTTAATAAACTGAAACATTTTTATAGGCGCGTCGCCAACAATCTCCCCCCCCCGTGCGTTAGCACCATCATTTGGGAGGCGTCGCGGGTACCAGGACTATTATTCTGGATGTAGGTCTCCTCAAGATACCTGTGCTAGTAATGACGTCAACCACTCTGGTGTGACCGTCTGGTCCCGGTAACGTTCTACTAATTTTACCTTTTGGCCACGTATTTCGTGGCAACGAATGATCTATTATCAAAACAATATCGCCTTCTTTAGGTTCCATGAACTTGCCGTTATCACCTGTTCGAGGTATTAACGTAGGCATGTATTCTTTCAGCCATCTTGTCCAAAAATGGTCGGCTAACCTCTGTGCAGCTTTCCAATTGAGTTGACCCGTCAGATGTCGCTCTAAAAATAATCCAGGTGGTCGATCACCACATGAGCGTCCCAGAAGAAAATGATTGGGTGTCAAACCCTCTTCAGGACTATCCATACTGAATGTTACTAGAGGTCTGGAATTTACCGTATGCTCTGCTTCTAAAAGTAACGTATGTAGAACCTCCTCTCGTGGGCTCTTCTCTTTAAGCGTAGCGGTCAACGCAATTTTAATCGATCTTACTAACCTCTCCCAGGCGCCACCCATGTGCGGTGCTCCCGGAGGTATAAATTTCCATTTAATATATTTCTTAAATGACTCGTTTTTCATGCCCTCATAGCATTCTTCGCATGCTTTCAATAATTCTTTATTTGCAGCTTTGAAATTTGTCCCGTTATCGCTGTATATAACGGCTGGTTTTCCTCTTCTGGCGATAAATCGCCTTAACGCCATTATCATTGACGCTGGTGTCAATGAGGCTGCTAATTCCAGATGTACTGCTCTGGTGGTCAGACACATGAATAAAACGCCCCAACGTTTTTCGTGTCGCCTTCCTATAGTCACACTCATAGGACCAAAATAATCTACAGCTGAGCATGTAAAAGGTGGCTCATGATGAGCTATTCTTTCCAGAGGAATATTTCCTTGTGGCACGTTTTGCGGCTTTGACCTGTATGTCCTGCACCACTGACAATGGTGTGACACACTTCGTACTACATTACGCAAGTTCAAGACGTAAAATTTCTGGTTCACCTCATTCATCACCGTCTGGTGATTGGCGTGTCCAAAATGATGATGAACTTCTCTAATCATCATTTTAACGATTTCGTGTTTACCGTCTAATATGACAGGTTTTCTACTTTCCTCGGTCAAATTAGACTTGAAAGGTAAACGTCCATTTAAACGGAGTAAGTTATCCTCTCCTATTTCCATAGATAATTTACTTAAGCGTGAACTTCTTTCAACGCTTTTGCCTGCTTTCAAACATTTTATTTCCGAATGAAAACACTCGTCTTGAATGAATTTCCAAATTAATATTTCCGCCTTTTTCAAGAGCGCTGTGTCCAACGCGCTATCGGGTCCTTTAACCGACTTTGCTAAAACTTTGTTGGAACACATAACCGACTTTTCGGTTGCGTCGTCGGGTCCTTTAACCGACTTTCTTAAACTCTTGAATTTTTCTACCGCTTGTAAGGTGCGTGTAGTTGCTCCAAGGAATTTCTTAAAGCTGCTAAATCGTCCGTAGTCGGGTAGACTTAACGGTTCTTGCTTTCTTAACGTATTTACGCCCTTTGGCGATTTTTCTTCACCTGTTTCTAAGCTATTTATGGTGTCCACTTGTTTGGGCCATAAATCAGGACTTTTCCTGAGGAATTCAGGTCCTTGAAACCAGCGATGACTTACATCGAAGGTGGAAGGAAAATTTCTAGTGGCGTCGTCTGCCACGTTTTGTGACGTTGGAACCCATCGCCATTCACATGGCTTACTGTGATCTTCGATCTCAGCCAATCGATGAGCAACGAATGGTTTAAAAGCGCGAGGATCCGACTTAATCCACGCTAACACTGTACGTGAGTCTGTCCAAAACACTCTCTCGGACATCTCGTACTTGCTCTCTTCACTAACCGAAGCAGCCAGTCTGCTGCCCATAAGAGCTGCTTGCAATTCAAGCCTTGGAATCGAAATTGGTTTCAATGGCGCTACTCTTGCCTTTGCGGCGATCAGCGTAATCCGCCTTATTCCTTGCTCGTCCGTGGTGACGTAATACACCGCGGCAGCGTATGCTTTTTCACTAGCATCCGTGAAAGTATGTAACTCTCCTTTGCCGATGCCTTCAGCAACGGGTCTAGGTACTTCTAAGTGACCTAATTTCTTCACTTCCGATATCCATTTACAAAATAACACGTGTAACTCGTGTGAAACTTCTTCATCCCAAGAGATGCCTGTCCTCCATACTTGCTGGATCAGCGACTTCCCTTGAATTGTTATGGGTGATGCGAGTCCCAAAGGATCGAAGACTGACATCACAGCGCTAGTTATCTCCCTCTTCGTAGGCGGTCGTAAACCCTCCATCACCTCTTCCGGTGTGCTACGAAGACTTGTGGAAAAAACTTATTATATCCCGTTTGATATTCCAAATCAAA